AAAGAAAAAAAAATCTTAAAAAGGGCAATGTTGATAGAAGATCAAATGTAGATATGATTTGCAAGTGAATTCTGACTTCTTTTATAGGAAGGGTGTCCAGACCAGCTGCATAGGTAACAGGACACCAGAAAATGTGAGTTTGCCCTCCCAGGCCACAGCTGACAGGGCATCTGGCTCTGTCTATGAGCATGCAAGCAAACTACAATGTGATGTGCAAAATCTATGGGGCCAATATAGATACCTTTCTGGGATTTCACCTGGGTAGTAACAAGAGACTGGGCCAGGTGTGGGAACTGTCGGGGAAAGGTCATTATACAGGGAAGGTCAAAGGCAGATGCAGGCTGAAGTAGTAAGAACACAGAAAATGTGAATAAACAGAGGATTCATCAGTAGCACAGGAAGAGTCTGCAAAGAGAGGTGAATCTTCTAAGGCAAGACTGATGTTATTTGGTCCAAAAAAGCCAGAGGGAGGTCATCCCAGAAAAGTCTTGGTTCCTGACAGTGCTCCAGGTCCCACTGCTGTGAGGCTCACCCACACTCTCATCGATGCCTTGAATCCCCAAGAGATCTCTCTCCCCTTCCCGCTGCATGTGTATCCTCACTCCCTTCTACTTGAGTTAGTTTGACTGGGTCACGGTTCCTTGAGCCTTACCCAAACAGATGATGTTGTCAGCGTCCTGAGTTATGGAACACACTGGCCATTCTCTCTGGCTTTTACTGTTTTACGCTGTGTCCAATTTACAAGTATTAGAATGCCTTCCTCTGACCCTCAGTGGATCTTTATCTTACTTTAGGGTAAATAAATCATGTTTTAGACATTGCACTGAACAAATTCAATTTGTCTTTGTGAAAAATAGCGCTTGGAGAATGGGCAGCATAGGGTCCTGAGGAAGAGCAGAGACTCTGGAGCCAGACTCCCTGCAGCCCGTCCTAGCTGCAGTGCTCACCGACTGGGTGGCGTTGGGCGAGTTACTGCACTTCTCAGAGCCTCTATGTCCTCATCCGTAAAGTGGGGATAACAACAGTGCCTACCTCATAGAGCTTTTATGATTATCATATATGAAAATTGTAAAGTAAGTTCTGTATGAGTTTTTATTAACCAAGCAGATATTCCTTTCTTACATGATTGCAAGTCACAATGGTTTGGATTTTGTAATTTTAATGAATGATAAGAAACAGAAGTCAGGTGATCTATATAATATAGTTATATGGATAGCTATAATTCATTGAGGACCTACCATGTGCCCAGCACTGACCAGATACTTGGCATCCATTATCTCACGTATGTTGCCTGCAAAAGGCACCTTATACTTAACAAGCATATACTGAAAGCTTACTGTATAGCAAGCACTAGCAGGGCTACAAAAATGCATATAGCTTAGTCTCTGCTCCTGAGAAGTTCTCAGGGTGGCTGGGGTACTCAAGCTGGGTCAGAAAACTTTGCTATTCACTTTAGTTCCATCATCTACAGAATAAGGAAATCTGATGGGGTGACCGCTAAGGTTCCTATCTCATCTAATTTTATAGGTACTGGGGTGAGAGATCATGCCACCTATTGATGATGGCTAAGACTTTTCAGTTTTGCCACTTAATAACCACTTGTGCTAAATGATTGTGTAGATGATCAATGCTGCGGTACTTTGAAAGGTCTTTGAGGCCAGGTTATTTGGACTGGGCTGCCAAAGTGTACTGGCAGAAGCAATAGTCCTCTACAGACTGAGATTTCACAAGGTCAAGGCAAAAACCAAAAGGCAAAAATCATAGCGCCCAAACTGGAAGATGACACCTAGTTCAACTCATTCGGTTATATACTGGGTTCCAGAGGAGAAAGGTAATACAGTTCATGGTCAGTTTAGGCATCCAGTCTCTGACACTTGTGCTAGGACTTTTTGCACTGCCCCACAATATGTCAAACTAGCTAACAGACCAGGCTCCAGGGTCAGACAGCTTGGGTTCAAATCTCTACTCTGCTGCTTATAGCTGTGTGATCTCAAATCCAGTTAGTGAGCCTCTCTCCCCCTTGGAAACTGGATATCATAATAGTATCTACCTGGATAAGAATTAAGTGAGATAATATTTGAAAATTGCACCATTATAGTGCCTGGCATAGAAAGAACAATGAATGGTGACAGCAAACACTTCTAGAAAGCTCTTGCTATGTGCCAAGCTCTGTTCTAAACATGTTAAATTCATCACCTCCTCTAATCTTCACAACAATCCTATGAGGTAGGTATTACTGTTACTCCTAGGAAGCAGCAGCACAGAGAGGGTGAGAAAGGTCACAATAAGTAGCAAAACCCAGAATCATACTTAAAACACTGGTCTCCCAACTCTGAGCTCTTAACTACTACACCATCATGGACGGTCTCTCATGACTTTCTGTTACGAAAACGGAGTCTTTCTGCATGTCAGACGCTGCTAAAAATGCCTAAAATGAACTAACTCACTGAGTCTTCACACCAACCTATGAATAGATACTAAGTTTATATTAAATGCTTATTGCACTAACACAACAAGAGGACAAAACTAAACAGTGCCAGGAGAGGGTCTTCAGCTACAATGCAAAGAGAAATGAGATGAGGACTAAACAGTCAGAACTAACAGGAACTACTCTAAGCAGAAAATGCCACTGGATACCCCAGATGAGAGGGAACTTGGGGCAGATGACACAGGGTGGGCAAGAAAGATAATAAGCCATTTTGCCAGCTTCAGAATTTTGTTGAAGAACCAGGTCGTTACAGCAATTAGGGGGAGGAGGTAGAGTGTAGTGGAAAAGTTGCACTGTGAAGTCAAACGTCAGTTTTGCACTTACTAGCTGTGTGTCTTTCAGGAAGCCACTCAACTGCCGAGTCTTGGGTTTTCATTTAGTACAATGGGGAGAATAACACCTAGTTTGTAGAGTTGCTTTGAAAATTAAATGAGAAAGTTTTTAAGGGCCATGCACGGGGACTAGCAGAGAACAGACAATTTTTCTTCTGATTACCTCTGAGACAAAGAAAACTTGGTTGGATGTTTGTCCAGATTGCTAGCTTGAAAGGGCCCTTCCAGCATGTAGCCCTGGGGATGGCACAGAATGCAAGCCTGACAACAAAGTAAAATTCCACATATTCAATCTTGGATAAATCACCAAGTCTTCAGAAACACTTTCAGATGACATCATTCTGTTGGACCGTATTACTCAAGGGGTTTGACTACAGTGTGAACTTTCCCAAATCCCAAATTACTGAACAATCCAAGCATACAATATAGCCACTCCTTCCTTTGATGATACATTTTTTTAAATCTCTGCATAAAATGCTTAACTGCTATCCCATTGATTTTTTTTTTTTACTCTTTCTCCAACATAACATTGCTTAATACCTCATTCTGTTCCCAAGATCTTCACTGTCAGTAAATTATTATTTTGTGCAATAGAATTATAATTCTAAAAGAATATGTTTTATGCTGTGATTGATGGAAAATGTGCTTTTAACTTTCAGGGCAAGACCAATTTTCTAACACTTCAGTTCTATTTGCTGAAATGCATTACTGCTATAAAGCATCAATTATGGCTAATAACGGCATTATTCTTACCTCAGTAAGTACTTGGTTTGGTAAAGCTTTAAGGACTCTCAACTTTGGCAATCAATTTAGTTAACTACAGGAAAGAGCCAATTTCATATAGATTATTACCTTAATGTCATATAAGTGGTGTTCGATATACATTTACATATACCTTTATTAAGCTTGCCAGATAAAACACACTCTGTGAGCCATATTTGCATAATAAACCAGTTATCAAAGTTTGAGCTCATATTTTCCATTGCCTTACCCCTACATCTTTTGGGTTTTATAAATTCATGCCAGACTCAGTAAAAAAATTACAAAAATAGGGAATTAGAGAGATTAGCCTCAAACAGGGGATTAGGGGGATACATGAGTCCCAGCTAAGTTCCAGTGAGAAGGTAATAAATTCTATCTTGCATTTGGGCTCTACCATTCAACCATCTAACCACCCAAAACTGGGAACCTTCCAAAATATCTTCTGATCCCTCAACTCTGCATCCAACTGGTAGTCAAGGTGTATCAATTCCATCTTTTAAATGTCTTTTGAATCTTTCCTTTGATGTTACTACCCTAGGTTTAGTCTGCTCCTGCTTAATATTGCAATGCAGAAGCTTTCTACTTAACAAGTTTTGAAATACAAATTAAGAACATTACACAACATGCATATCAACAGATGGCAATTGTGGTCACTTGGACTTGCAACCAAATGGACCCTGGGCACCCTCAGCTCTAAGAAGCTTTCCCCATTCTACTGTATCCTCACCTGTGCAAATTCTCTAGAATGCAAACTTGACCATATCTCTCTTCCCTGCTTAAATACTTCTCTGCATTCTGCATGCCCATAAAGAACATCCAGGTTCAAAAAGAGTTTATGGAGTCTGATTTTGAAACAGAAGCTAATGTGTTCCAATACTCCAGAATACATTACCGTGGACCCTCATAACCCCATGGAAACTGACCCGTATAATCTTCCAAAGTTACTATTGCAATACAGAAGCTTTTCTGTATTTTTCAAAGGAACTGAACTCTTTTTCTCCCCTCAAGATAGAAATCTGTTACATCAAGGTAATTTTGATTAGATAGTTCCCTAGCTTTAACCACAAGCATTAAAAAGTGAGCCATCTTAAAGCCTGAAGCAGTGTCTGTAACCCTGGTTTATTGAGTTCTAATTAAGTCAAGCACCAACGAGCCCTACCACGAGTGATGGACGCAGGCACACATAGAAAAGATGCAGCCCTTGCTCTTCTCAGAATTCAGTCTGTCTGGGAAACAACTGTAAAAATTATCAGCTAGAATAAGTATAATAAGAGATATACATAAATGGACATACAGGAACATCATGGAGGCGTTTTACCAGGCAGGGAAGACAGAGAAAAGCAGTCCAAGCAGAAGAAACTACCCATGCTTTTCCTTTCCCCGGCTAGAGCTAAACAAACCTGTGTGGTTTTACTTACAATTGTAAAGTTCATGACTTTGAGAATCCAGATGGTCATGGCCAAATTCACCAGTATTAAAATCATGAGGAGCAGGACAAAGAAATACAGGCATCTTTTCCGCCAGCCGTAAATCCCCACTTTGTATACTTGTGGCCCCTCGGAGCCGGGCATGGCGTTCCGGTGGTGTGTGTACTGTTCCTGAGGCATCTGAAATAAATGAGGCAAGAGAGAAGCACTCACATTAAACTGCTGAGAGAAGGAAAAAAAAAAGAAAGGAAAAAAAAAACAACTGATGAAGAGATATGGCTGGCTGCTGTCTGTACATTTACACCCTCCTGACAACTCTAAAAATCTGCTTCCCCTGGACAGAAGCAGCTCCTCTGGATGCTTGCTGTAGTTCTCTCCTCTTCCGCAGCCATCTCTCTTGATGAGTATGGAGACATCCTCATCCACACATATCCTAGGAGGAAAGGGACTCCTAGGAAGTTATTTTCCAAATGGCTCTTAAAATTCCAACATCCTTGTGAGGGAGACACTCAAAGACCTACCAAAGAGCTGAAGGTAAAATTTAGAATGACTCAAGAAAATAAATTAACCCCAGCAGTTCATCTTGATAGCATAAAAATACTATTTGGGCAATTTATTTGGGGGCAGGGGGTAAATAAAATCTCAAATGCAATCATTCTGTATTGCCAGGTAGTCAGTGGCAAAAGTATTTTAGACTTAAAAGGGGTCCTGGTAGACACACAGCTCAAGCCTCAACTTGATTCAGAAATCTTCAAGTGATAGTCTAGTAAATACCTCCGTACCCTCTGAGTTAGTCCTTGTGAATTAAGCAATTCTAATTATTATCAATCAACCTATTTAAGAAACATAAAGGAGGATCAAAAGCTAGCAAGATGTAAACATTCTCTCTAGGAGCTTGCAGGCTAACGGGAAGATGAACTAGTTAAACGCAGATTATAGAAGAGTGAGATAAGTGGGAAAAGTATTTGTCAGTCTTAAGTCATATGTTGATCCCCCTTAAAATAAGGAAGCTTTCCCAAACCCCTGCTGTTGACACAAATTATCTTTATACTAGCATTACTGATTAGGTACCAACACAAATCTAGATAAACTCATCACTTCCATAAAATTCTAAAACCAAAGCAAATTTTAAAATTAAATACAAATAAAAGTACAAAACTCGTATCATTCAAAATGGAGAATAATCAAGCACTATGAAGGAGGATGATTTGCTAAAACTAAATTGCATGAATGTGGTACCCAGGGCTTTGGCATGGGGTCTTCTGAGCACAGCATCCCTGCTCTGCCGTGTGACAACATGGTCCTTACTGCCTTTCTCTATTCAGGTAATGGCACAGCCATTATTTTGGCATTTTTACTTTGGCCCTCATGTAGGCATACTGCATTCCATGAAAATGAAGCCTGCTCTATTTATTTTCTTCTCAGCCAATCACAACTAGATTAGTAATATGTGGTGCCAATGTGACCATAATGACAAACCAAAATTTGGGCCTTCAAATCACATCCTTGGTTATTAGGTCATCTTCCAGATGGTTCAGAATATGATTATTTTATGGTTTTTAGATAATCATCAAAATGCACACGTAAAACCTAAAAATCCCACAGAGAACTCATGGCCGTTAGGCATCAGTAGAATTCCATTTGAAAAATTGAGTGGATTCATCCTTATGGTCAACTAAAATGCTCCACGAAGGCCTACATGACATCTGTCTCATTCTCAACACGACGCTAGCACCAAAATCACTATCAAAGATGAGTATATGTTGGAATATGTGTGTGGAATGAATGAATGAGAAAAAATGCATAAACAATGACCAAATGAATGATTTCCCATCTGTTACTAGTTCTGCTGCTGTTTGGGGATATACAAAAGTCCAAGCCAGACACCATGGGGAAGTTCTTGTTTGTATACTTGCAAATTTCCACTTCAGGCTCCCAAAGCACCAGGTTCCCAGCCAAGCAGTGAGCTTTACACTATAAGAGGATCACAATTTTATATCTCAGTTTCTGACAAGTCTTCTGTAGATCAGGGATGTGTTGTAAGAAGAGGGGAACAAAACAAAGTCATCAATCACTGGCCTTTTTGCAAACCAAGATCAAATAAAAAGAACTTTTTATATGCCTGAAGAACATTAGGCCTTTATTTTCCACTAAATAAAATTCTGTGAATTAAGAAAATGATCACAGAATCTCAGAATCATATCTGCAAGGTCCTTTCATTCCAATCAACTAATTTTATGAAGGAGCCAAATTAGAATTAGAGAAATTAATCCACTTGTACAGGGCTCCAGGGTTTGTAGTGGGGCAGGGGAGAGAACAATAATCTGTGCTTCTCGGGGGCATGATGAACAGTGAGAAACTCTTCCCAAATAAGTGTACAGAAGCAGGTGACGTTGTCACTACACCAGTTGCCTTTTCTCTGTCATTCACTCCAACCAGTGGTGTCATTATACATGTCACTATGCAACTTAGCTATAAAATGGAAATGATGTGTTCAATGACTATTTCTAAGAGGATAGGATGGGGATGTGGATATCACACTTGTGATATTTTTTCACAGAGAAATTGTTAGGTTTTGACGGAATGCAGTGATTATCCTCACTGGGGGTCCTCAGTCCCGGGTGCACAGCAGAATCGCTCATGGAGCCATCAAAGCATCTATACTCAGGTTAATTAAATAACAATTACAGGGGTGGCACCCAGGCATGTGTATTTCTAAAAAGCTCCCCAGATAATTCAAAGGCTAGACAGGATTGCATATCATTGGTCTAGAATAATGTCGCTCTACCCTGACTATGCATCAGAATCCAAAAGAAACTTAACTAATACAGTCCAAATTCTGAGCTCCAGCATTAGAATCTCGAGCTCAGGGTGATACATTATTTAAAAGCTCCCCAGGTAATTCCAAGCACTTGTGACAACAACTAAAAACATGTTTTTTTTTTTTTCAAAGATTAACTAATTTAAGGCAAAAGTCTTGAAAGAAACTCCAGCAAGTAAAATCGCAAAAACCAGAGCTCCTCTCCTTAAAGCAGGAGTGAGAAGCTGAGCAGAGATTATAACTCAGATTCTTTGCTGAAGGGTACAAGGCTCTTGCATCCCCACGACACCCACTTTAACGAGCCACATGAAACAAAATACTCCAGTGTCCAACTCTGTAAAATAAATCAATAAGGAACAGGGAAAGGGGTAATTTTCTATAAACGATAATAGGAGGCCTTGCAAGGCAAACATAAGGTAATGGATACATCTGTTATAAATAATCTCTTCATGCAAAGAAGAAATTTAGACATGCTGAGTACTTTAATTTTCCTAGTCAAAAATTAAAGCATGTTGAAATGATAAAAAAACAAAGGAGGAAAGACTATCTCATCTCCAATCTGTGTTTCTCCTTGTTCCTTCCCGGAAGAAATTTACCGTCCAAGCAATGAAATTAAAGTTTTAAGTTCTCATTTGGGCAGGCCCCTTTGAAGGCCCTGGGAGAGGCCTGAGTAATACATGAACATAGTCATACATTTTTGCAAAATTGAAAAAGGATTTTTTTTTTTTTTTATTTCAGCAAATTATGGGTGTACATATGTTTAGGTTACGTGTGTTGCCCTTGGTTGCCCCCCCCCCACCGAAGTCCGTGTTTCAAATATGTCCATCCTTCGGGTAGTGCGCATTGCCCTCCTTGTGTATACAAATACCCCTCCCCTCCTCCCTCTTCCCCCCTCCTCCCACCACCCTCCCCCTTCCCTAGCATCCACTAGACGTTGTTCTGATATGTGCATTTATGTGTTGATTAGTTAATACCAATTTGATGGTGAGTACAAATGGGTCCCGTTCTGCTGCTCTTGTGGTGCTCCACTTTGGATAATGGGCTTAAGTTTAATCCAGGATGTTTTGTTTTTGTTTTTTTTTTTTTTAGTTTATTTTTTTTCACCTTTTTTTTTTATTTCAGCATATTATGGGGGTACAGATGTTTAGGCCACGCATATTGCCCTTACCCCTTCCCCCCACAAGTCCGAGTTTCAAGTATGTCCATCCTTCGGGTAAGGATGTTTTAATTGTAACTAGCTAAACCCTGTCTTTTTCTACTCTGACGTGTCTATTTTGATAATTATCATAATATTTGAAACTTTTTCATTATTATTATATCTATTATGGTGATCTATGATCAGTGATCTTTGATATCACTAGTAACATTGTTTGGGAGCACCACAAAACCTACTAATATAAGATAGCAAACTTGATCAACCAATGTTGTATGTGTTCTGACTACTCCACTGACCTCCTGTTCCTCCATCTCCCTTCTCCTCCTCAGGCTTCCTTCTTCCCTGAGACATATTGAAATTAGGTCAAATAAAAACCTCACAATGGCCTCTAAGTGTTCAAGTGAAAGGAAAAGTCATGTGTCTCTGACTTTGAATCAAAAGCTAAAAATGAGTAAGTTTAGTGAGGAAGGCATGTCAACAGCCAAGACAGGCCAAAAGCTAGGCCTCTTGACAGTGAAGTTGTGAATGCAAAGGAAAAGTTCTCAAAAGTGCGACTGCAATGAACGCACAATGACAAGAAAGTGCAGCAGGCTTATTCCTGATATGAAGAAAGTTTGACTGGTCTAGATGGAAGATCAAACCAGCCACAGCATTTCCTTAAGCCAAAGCCTAGCCCAGAGCAAGGCCTTAACTCTCTTTAATTCTATGAAAGTTGAGAGGGATGAGGAAGCTGCAGAAGAGAATTTGGAACCAAGCAAAGGTTGGTTCATGAAGTTTAAGGAAAGAAGTCATCTCCTTAACTTAAAAGTGCAAGGTGAAGCAGCAAGTGCTGAGGGAGAAGATACAGCAAGTTATACAGAAGATCTAGCTAAGATCACTGAGTAGTGGCTACACTAAACAACAGATTTTCAATGCAGAAGAAACGCCTCATGCTGAAAGAAGATGCCATCTAGGACTTTCATAGCTAGAGAAGTCGATGCTTGGCTTCAAAGGATAGTCTGACTCTCTTGTTAGGGTCTGATGCAGCTGGTGACTTTAAGTTGAAGCCAATGCTCATTTACCATTCCAAAAATCGTAGGGCCCTAAAGAATTAGGCCGAATTTACTCTGTGTTCCAGAAATGGAACAGCAAAGCCTGGATGACAGCAAATCTGTCTATAGCATGGTTTATTTTTAAGCTCACTATAGAGACCTACTGCCCAGC